GCAGTCTTGAGTCTCTAATACATAAAGCAGTTCAGTAGGCTGGAAACTCAAACTTTTGTAGGAATCATGAAGTAGAATTCTTTCTTAAAGAAAACTCATTTTTTTCTTCTAAAAGCCTTAAGCTGATTAGCTGGTGTTTATCTACATTATGGGTGGCAGTCTCTCTTTTATGTGAGCTAATTATATCTGTTTATTGCATTTACAAAATACCATCATTTAACATATGTTAAACATACACATTAACTAATTCAATGAGCAACTGCACATATATGTATATATATATATATATATATATATATATATACACTGCTTCTACTATAAGTCATTAGGAAAAAAGAATAAATTAAATTTTTAAAGAAAGAATTGAAATTTTGATTACATCAAAATTATTCAATATAGATTAGAAAAATGGAGAAATTTATGAAACTGAAAGCCCTTTCTTTTGAAAGGTTAAGCAAAATAGAGCAGACATTGTTAACTAAATTTATGGAAATAAATGAGAATTATAAAATGGAACAATATTATGTCATATGTAACTCAAATAAAATGGAAAAAATGTTAGGGTGACACAAATCACTGAAACTGACTTCAAGATGAATAAATAACATTAATGTATCTGTACCAAGAGATTTATTTAATAATCATAAATTATAAATAAAGAAAAGGTTAGGTCCAGATTACTTCACTGCTATGTTCTATAAAATATGTACTTATTTTTAAAGATGCATTTGTTTATTTGAAAGGCACAGTGATACACAGAAAAAGAAATACCGAGAAAGGCAGAGAAAACAGATCTTATACCTGCTGGCTCATGCCCCAAATGGCTGCAAGACTCAGAGTATTTAGTCCTAGCTTGTGGTGCTGGCATCCCTTATGTGAACCTCTTGGAGTCCGGGGTACTCTATTTCTGACCCAGGTCTCTGCTAATATGCCTGGGAAAGCAACAGAATATGACTTCAGTGATTGGGCCTATGCACCCCAACTGTAGATGGAGTGCTTGGCTCCTTCTGGTTCCAGCCTCAGCTTTACCCAGCCCTGACTGTTGTAGCCATTTTGGAGGTGAGCTAGGAGGTGGAAGACTCTCTCTGTCTCTCTGTCTGTCTGTAACTGCCACTCAAGTAAAAACTTTTAAAAGGAAATCATCCTTATCTCCCACATAGGTGGAAGTGGAACAAGTACTTGGGCCATCTTACAGTGCTTTGTCAGGCATGTTAGCAGGAAGCTTAATCAGAAGCAGACAATCTTGGGATCAAGCTGTTTTGTAGGTTATATTTAAAATAAAAATCAGAAAAGCATTGATTCAAAGCTCTTTCAAATAATGAAGGATGAGAATATACCCCCAAATTCATTGTACAAGGCTAGAATTATCCTGATGCTGAAACAAACAATATACATATATATAGTTTGTGATATATATAATATATATAAAAGCTATACCAGTATCACTTACCAATATGAATTTCAAAGTCCTAAACAAAATATATACAAGCCAAATTTACCAAATGTAATGCATATATATGTGTATATGAGATAAATATGTATAAGAAGTGGTATTAATATCAGTTATACAAAGTTTATGCATATATGTATGCATTTGATTTTGTATCTGAAGATCATCAGATATACCAGTTCATTAGAATAATTATATTATGTAAACTATTCTCACCAGATAAACTGTTTGAATAAAAGGAAAATCACTCTTTTATGATGAAAACATTAAAAGGTTAGAAAGGGAAGGGTAAATCTTCAGCTTGAGAATTTTGTATCTGTAAAAGAATCATAGGTATCGTTACAGTTAATTGTGTTTTTTTTTAAAAAAAAAAAAAGCCTAGGGTGCAGTGTCATGCTTCAGTGACTAAATCCTCACCTTGCATGTGCCAGGATCCCATATGGGAGCTGGTTAGTGTCCCAGCTGCTCCTCCTTCCATCGAGCTCCTTGCTTGTGACCTGGGAAAGCAATAGAGTATGGCCCAAAGCCTTGGCATCCTGCACTTGTATGGGAGGGCCAGAGGAAGTTCTTGGCTCTTGGCTTCGGATTTTCTCAGCTCCAGTCATTGTGGACACTTGGGGAGTGAACAAGCAGATGAAAGATTTTTCTCTACCTCCTTTTCTCAGTGAACCTACATTTCCAATAAAAATGAATAAATCTATTTTTAAAAATCTCCCTAGTTGTTCCGCATGAACAAGACAAGGATATCTGCTGTAGTTACTTACTCATTCTAACCAGGGGTTTAACCAAAAGAAGAAAGTAAATTCATGCATATTTGATGAGAAGAAGTAAAATACACTTATAGAGGAAATGAAAATAGACCATTGGGCCAAGCCATAACCAGTGACCCAATGTCCATATAGGTCTCCTTTGTGGATGCAGGGGCTCCAGCACTTGGGCCCTATTACACTGATTTTCCAGGCGTGTTGGCAAGGAGCTGTGTTAGAAGTGGAGCAACAGGGGCTAAAATAGATACTCATGGGATTTTGCTGTCATTGAGTGGCATCTAAACTGATGCAACGCAACACTGGCCTTGTCAACTATTTTATGGCAATAATGATAGCTATTCAGTCGGAGAAAGACCTGTTTCCTCAGCAAATGATATTGGAATGACTGAGAGTCACATTCAAAAGAATGAAGTTAGAAACTCAATTCAGAACTTCTACAAAAAGTTATCATAATTCTATTTCAAATCTGATATGTATACATGAAAATCTCTTGCGAAAAATGTAGGGATAGATATTCATGATTCATGGTCTAAAATTGCGATGAACTCTTAGCTGTAACACAAAAATGTAAGCAAGGAATGATAAAATTTATAAATGGAATTATATCTAAATTAAAAACTTATGTAACTTTTAGGACATTATGAATCTAACAAAAATGGCAATAAAGAATAGGAGAACATATTTACAAATAACGTATCTGTTGAAGACAGAATATATGGAGAACATTTATCACTCAAGTTTTGGAAGACAGCCTAATTAAAAAAATTGCAAGAAACTTCACAGACATTTCTAAAAAGGAAATTTTAAGATATGAAATAATAAGTACTTGAAAATATGCTTGACATGATTTGTTATCAGTTATTTAATCCAGTATACTAGATTGAGGCATATGTGCCCTGTGTGGGAGTATTTGGGACATAGTCCTACTTCCACCTTTGATTTGAGGTTCCTGCTAGTGTACTTTCTGGGAGGAAGCAAGTGGTGGCTCAGTTGCATTGGGTTCCTGTCACTTCCATGTGACACCCAGATGGACTGGAAGCCCGGTTCTCACAGATGCTGCGGAGTGAGCAAGCAAATGGATCACCTCTTCCTGTATTTTCCTGTCAAACTGCCTAGCAAATAAATAAAACCATGATAAGTAAACCCGTTTAAAATCATAATGAGATAACAATTCTTATATACTGAAATGCATATAGTCCAAAACAGGGACGGTAATGTTGAGGAGCAGGTGAAAAAGAAAGTCTCAAACATTAAGAATGGAAATATAGGGCCCGGCATGATAGCCTAGCAGCTAAAGTCCTCTCCTTGAACACGTTGGGATCCCATATGGGCACTGGTTCTAATCCTGGCACCCCTGCCTCCAATCCAGATCCCTGCTTGTGGCCTGGGAAAGCAGCTGAGGATGGCCTAAAGCCTTGGGACCCTGCACCCACATGGGAGACCTGGAAGAAGCTCCTGCCTCCTGTCTTTGGATTGGCACGGAACTGGTCATCGGGGTCACTTGGGGAGTGACTGATTTGATGGAAGATCTTTCTCTTTGTCTTTCCTCTTCTTTCTTTGTGTATCTGCCTTTACAATAAAAATAAATAAATCTTTAAAAAAAAAAGAATAGAAATGTAAACAGTCTTGGCCATTTTCAATAGCAAAGCAGATTTACAGAACCCTGAATTCGAAAGAATTGTCATAAGACGCAGCAGGAAATGCCTTGGCTATACCTACAAGGAAGAAATGCTCAGGTTCACACAAACCCATATGCAGTATCACTTCACATCAGCATAGTTTATAATAATTAAATGGTGAACGTATGCCAAAGGTCCATCAACTGACTGATACATAAAATGTACTACACCCAAACAGCTTAACCTTGAAGATGGAGAGTGAATGATGCCACACACCAAGAACCACCTGTTATATGATGTCATTTATGTGAAAAGGGGCAAACAAAGGTAAATACCGAGTTATAAAAATATTTTGTGTGGTTCACATCGAATTCTGAAGGGAGTGAAAGATGAAGGGTCCTGAGTTTCCTTTTCATGTGGGAAAGTATTATAAATGATGTAGCATTTTCAGGTATCAGTGAATATACTAAAAACATGAAATTTTCCACTTTAATGGGTGGATTATATTATGCCTATAATTTCTTTCTCTAAAGAGTTTGAAAACACACAAACAAAAAACAAATATAAGGGGCAATGAAAAAAAAAATCTTTTTTGAGAAGATTATGATAATTTATACTCCAGCCTGACTATGTTGGGGCTTAGTTTCTCCTTTCTGTAAAGAGAAATAGAATTTTGACATTCCATATGGAGCAGCTCAGTCCAATGCAGAAGACGGTTTCTCTTGGATCAGCCTGTGACTTGATTTTGTTCTAAAATTAAGTATCTGCCTTGTGTTTGTGCATTTATTAAGTCTATCTACATGTATGGTTTGCCCTCTCTGATAAAAATCTCAAAATTTAGGGAACCCTAGTGGCTGAGACCCAGCCCCTCCCCCACTGATGCTGATCCCAGACAACTGTTGCTATGGTGAGATTGTTACATACAGCCAGCCAGCCTATAAATTGCCTCTGCCGACAGTGGGCCAGCAGAAAGGAGACAGGATCCATGGGTTAAAGACGGGGTGTTCTGGCGGATTGGGAACTGCCAACCAGCTCCATCTGGGCAAAAAACAGAGAATTTTAGAATCTTATGATATTTAAACCTCCAGAGGTAACCATTGACTCGTAAGAAGGCCCAGCTGATCTGTCTTCATTTTAGTGAAGTCTGGAAGCGAAGGTAAAGACATGTTTAACTCAGACTTGCTAGATGTGCCTGCTGTAGTCATTGACAATGGTTCAGGAATCTGTAAAGCAGGGCGGTCTGGAGATATCGCACCCCGTATTGTTCTTAGTTCAGTTATAGGATATCCTAGACATGACATATATTCTAAAAAAAAATACAAAAGCAAGTACTCTGTTGGAGATGAAGCTCTGGGGAAGTATCGTTCTCTATATTTACACTTTCCCATAGAACGTGGACAGGTCACAGCATGGGATGACATGGAGAAATTCTGGAGCCATGTTCTTGAGATAGAGCTGGAAACAAAACCTAACGAACAGCCTGTACTCCTCAGTGAGCCCTCCTTGAACCCGAGGGAGACTCGAGAAGGAATTACTGAGTTAATGTTTGAGAAATTCAATGTTCCAGGTTTCTATCTGGCCAACCATGCAGCAATAGCTCTATATGCTTATGCCTGTGTCACGGGCCTTGTGGTTGACAGTGGCGAAGGACTGACATGCGTTGTCCCCATCTTTGAGGGTTATGCTCTGCCTCATGCGGTCAGCAAGCTCTGTGTTGCAGGCAGAGACATCACCGATCGCCTGACCCGTCTCCTCCTGGCAAACAATTACATCTTACCTTGCATATTCAACAAGGCCGTAGTGGATGACATCAAGGAGAAGACGTGTTGCATCACTTTGGGATCAGATAAAAAACTACACAAGAGAGTGGAGGAATATATGCCGCCAAGACAATACGTACTTCCAGATGGAAATGTCATCTCTGTTGTGGACAGTATGATGAAGGTACCGGAAGTTCTTTTTTCACCTAATAAGATGGGCATTAATAATCCAGGCCTCTCAGAAATGGTCTCCAATAGCATCGCAAAATGTGACACCGACATCCATAAAGACTTGTTTGCAGAAATTGTGCTGTGTGGTGGCAGCACCCTCTTCCGGGGGCTGGAGCAACGACTCCTGAAGGAACTGGAACCGTTAGCCTCTGAAGAGAACCGCATCAGAATCATCGCTTCTCCTGATCGATGTTTCTCTGCATGGATCGGCGCCTCTGTTATGACATCTCTGAGCACCTTCAAGCAAATGTGGGTCACTTCTTCAGAATTCAATGAATTTGGGGCCTCTATAGTTCAGAGAAAGTGCTTTTAAGAAGCATTGAACACCAAGAGCAGCTGGAAGTGCAAAATTGCAGGAGTACCTGTGTTGGGAAGGCGGGGGATTACCATCATGCCTGCTACTTCAGCAAAAATGTTCAATTAAATGCTTTTGCCATTTAATATTTTGGTGTGTTCTTTTTAGCATGAGAATAATTTCTGATTTAGGTCATGCATGTTTAAGTGATTAAAGGCAACTCCTCTTTTCCTGTGTACCTAGTAGGTTCACTCCTGAGAAAGCTTGGAGTTCTTTGTTGATGCAGTGGCTCTTTACAACATTTGCAGTAAAAGATGCCTGAGCATCGTTGCTAAAAGAATAATACAATATTATTACCCATTGGATATTTTTTAAAACAATTTTTATTCTTGATGATGTTTACATAGTTGATCAGGGTGGAAAGGAACCAAGGTTAGAGGAAAGTTGGTGAGACCATTATTTCCATTTTTTAAAAATTTTTCTTCTTCTTGTATCTGGGGAAAGGTGGGGAGATAAGTGGCAAAGTCACACCCAGCCTCCCAACTGCCCCAGGTACCAGTGATGGGAATGGTCTTCTGATATCAACACAGGGTCCCTGATATGGAGAAGACTGCAAGGGTTCTGCTCAAGTGGTTTCAGTAGGTTTGGAATGCTGTCATCTTACAGATCCAAGGATGAGGAAATTCTTCCAATGTCCATTGGCTGACATAGTCAACCTTAGAGTCTCCATTAGCCTAGATATTTGCTTTCATTGCTTGGTTGGGGTAGTTGTCCAGTTTGTTTTGGCATCTTTCCTCTGCTATGGTACCAGATGTCCTCTTAAGACCCTGATGGGCTGCCATATCCTCTGTGTGCTTCTGGACCTGCCATCTGCTGCTCTATTTTTTCCACTGAGGAGGCCCAGTTTTGACACATACAATCCAATGTCAGACCACCAATCCTGGACACGAATCCTCATGTCCTTGCACTGCCTTACATGTGGAGTTCCCAAGACCCTGTGCAACTGCAAACACCAAGCATCCACAGTGGGTGGCCAGTGGGCTTTTCCTGGTGCCATTGACGAACCAGGCTGCCCAACCCATGCCCTACTGGACCCGTAACCACCCGCACCCACAATGCAGGCAGGTCATAGGACCTGGTCCAAGTGACCTGGGGGCTGCCAGAGCCCTTGCCCCTGAGGCTCACAGACTTGATACTCACCATGCAGGCAGGCCTGAGAACCTAGGCCGGGAGTCCTAGGCTCTGCTGGAATCCTCACTCCAGGTCAAAGGACCTGGGACAGGCAACCTGGGCTCTGCAGGAGCCCCCATCCACAGGTCTCACAGAGCCCCCCAGCCATCACACAGGTTGGCCTAAGGACCCAGGCCAGCCAGCTCAGTCTCCACCAGATCCCCATCCCAGGGGCTCATCGACCCAACACCCACCGCACAGGTGGACCTAAGGACCCAGGCCAGGTGACACAGACCCCACAGGAACTCCACCCCAGGGGCTCACAGACCCAGCACCCTCTGTGCAAGTGAGCCTAAGGACCCAGGCCAGGCAACCCAAGCCTTGCCGGAGTCCCAGTCCCCAGATCTCATACAACTGGCACTCCCCCACTTACCTTTACTACAATAATAATAATTAATAAATAAAAAGAGAGAATAGGCTAGGCAACTGTGGTGGCACACTGCTATGATTAACACAGATTTGGCATTAAGCAGGCCCAGGATGCCCACCAGCTGTTGGCTGCTTTTTTCTCAAAAGTGTAACACTTCCCTAGGTATGACACAACCTAAGCCATTGCCCACACTAAATCTTTATTGTAAATTTTGTTAGATGTTTCTAATAGATGTAGTTTCCAGATATAGAATTACCAGTGATAGTGTACAAATGGGGGGAGGGGAAGCTAAGAAGAAGCTGGAATTCTATTTCAGTTTTAGGGCTTATAAACCCTATGGTTGGACTGAATTTTAGTTATCCCAATAGGACTGTGACACTGTTGTTTTGAGATCACACAGCTAAAAGGGTGTTGGGCAGATTTGAACAAAGAATCATCATTGATTTAAGAATTTTTGAGCTAACCCTGCTCCTACTTAGAGCATTAGGTAATTAGTGTCCCTACTTGATTGGTATTTTTATGTTTATTTTTTCAGTGATGTTTGTGGCATCACATACTAGGGGACAAAAGTAAACACTGGAACAGTTAATGGTAATAAAGTAATAATTGAATAAATTATGCATTAGGAACTATTTTTCAATAATTCTGTTTTTTCCCTCAATTATTGACAGAGAAGTAGAAATTACAAGGACATCTTTTCAACACATATTTTGGTAAAAACAATGACATGAGAATCAAGATGGTGGAATAGGGTAAGGACATGTTTAAACAGACCAAGAAACATTAGCCAGTGTGAAGCAGACAGGGTACATTCTGGGAAATAGGAGAGGACAAAACAACAGCAGTGGGGTACCTGGAGACTGACAGACACTGGAAAAGAGAGGAGACAACAGTGCGGTGTTGCAGTGACCAATACCCCAGCGGCATTCAGCAAGTGGCAATCTGGACTCCAAAGGCAGCTGGAACTCCACCAGCAACAAAGTGGGAAGGGGTGTTGACTGGGAGTTCAAGAGGTGAACCCAGACAAAGAACTGCTCATCCTGCTGGTCTGTTTGATTTGACCAGAAGAAACAGAGCTTCAGGTCCCAGACATACAGTGCCAGAAACAGGGTGGATTTCACAGCCCACTCTACCCTCTAGAACCAAATTGGGCACCATTTTCTATAGAGATGCAAAGGCTATGGACAGTACTGTGCATGCACTGGGCTGGGAGTGATCTCATTTCTGGCTCAGTGAACTGCAACAGTGTAGCATCCTACAGGTGCCACCCAAGACAGGTCTGGGTAGCCCTCAGACCTGTTGGCCAGCAGATCAAGAACTCTAGTAGTGGTACATCAGGCACAATTTTGTACAGTGTGGAAGACCTTTAAGCCTGCAGGGACAACTGTGAGTTGTGCATGCACTCAGCTGGGAGAGAACTTACTGAGCTCAGTGCATTGCACTGTTCTCACAGGGAAAATAATACCGATTTTGACATCATGTGGGTCAAACTAGGTCTGTGTGGCCCTTACACCTAACAGCCAACAGGTTCTGGCAAGATCAGCACTAGCAACAATGTAGTTATATAGGACACCTGATTTCTCCCTAATCTCAGGAACTGCTGTAACAGGAAGTGGGAGAAAGGTTGTACAGACAACAGTGCAGCCTTAGCATGGTATCACAGAAGGTGGAGACTGGTGAGTTAGGTATTGGGGCTATGGAGACCGTGGTGGAAGTCTAATACGAGAACCCAGACCGTGAACTCGCTGGAGAGAGTGGCTGAAAACAAAGAAATTAAGAATACAGTGGAATAAATTAAAAATGCAATAAAGAGTCTCGAGAATAGAATTAAGGCAGCAGAAAAAGAATCTCAGAATTCAAACATATTTCCTGTCACCACAGGAAACAAACAAAAAACTGGAAGCAGATCTGGGTCAAGCTTTAAAAAAAAAAAGTATTCTAGACTTGAAAGATACTATTAAAAGACCAAGTATAAGAGTTATGGGAGTCCCAGAAGCTGCAGAAAGAGAAGCTGGGTTTAAAGGTGTTTCCAATGAAATTATAAGGGAAAATTTCCCTAATCTAGAGAAAGAATTAGGAAACAACATTCACAGGGTACACATAGCATCCAACAGGGTTGACCAAAAGTAATCTTCACCATGACACATGATCATCAAGCTCTCTTCAAGCGAACATAAGGAAAAGATTGTTAAATGTGCACGTGAAAAAAATGAACTGACATAGAAAGGAATGCTAATTAAACACACAGGAGACCTCTCACAGGAAACTCTACTGGCCAGAGGAGAATGGAGCAACATATTCCAGATTCTAAAAGCAAAACAATGTTGGTACATGGTAACCTTTGTCTTTGAAAATGAAATAAAACTTCCCTAGTAAAGAAAAGTTAAAAGAAAATGCCTCTTCCAGACCTGCCCTACAAAGGATACTTAAAGATGCTCTCTAAGGGATTAGAACCTGCCTGTCTTGGTCAGTGGGAAGGGAGACCCAAGCTGTGTGCCCCAACTCAGCTTAACATCATGCCCAGAGCTAGGTTCTTCACCATGAATTTCCCACAAGTGGATATACAAGGGATCTATACAGAAGGTACTCAATGTTAAGTAGGTGCAGCTGATGACTTGTTGAGGCTGTCCCTTTAAGAGCTGTTCTTAGTTGTCCGGGGAGTTAGCTGGGGTTGGGGCATGTGGCTGTAGATTGAAATCCCCATTATGTTAGCCTCCAGAAAGCTTGGGGCTAATGAAATAATTCCCATTAGGAGAGGAAGGAAGTGAAGGTAGTCGACCTCTTTCTGTCTCTAATTTATATGATTCACTGAAACCGCCCCCCTCCTTTCTTCAGTCACCCCTTTGAACTCTGGTTCCTCTGTCCATTCTGTCTGCCAGGTGGGCAGACAGGCCTCGGGTTTCCAGCAGCTCCCAGCAGGCCCGGAAGCCTGGCAAGGTTGCCTCTGCCAGCCCAGGCATTTGGGCTCTGCTCTTGGCAGCCACAAGGGAGAATCCCTGCCTTCCCTGAGATACCTCTGCTAGATTTCAAGAACCAGAACTGGGGGCTAACAGGCTGGGATAGGCCCCAGCACCCACCAACAAGAGTTGGGACCTACAGCAGGCCATAACTGGTGGGCTGCAACCCATCAGCAAGCATGAGAGCCAGGGCCTGAGATAGGCCTGATAGGAGATTTTTGGGGATACCCCCACTTGGCTGTATCACCTGTTAGCTAATTTGAGAGGCATGGTTTAAAGTGGAGCATGCCTGGTTAAGCCACAGCGCCCACCAGCACACGCTAGAGGAAGGTTGGAATGCAGGGTGGATTGGGTGAGGCAGCAGCATCCTCCAGAGAGATCTGAGACTGATGATAGGCCATAACAGGCTAGGCCACAGCATTCACCCACATGTGCCACATACGGGGTGGAGGCAGGGTGGG